CGAACTGCCCTTCGGGCCAACCTCCAAACCAAATCCTTCCCCTGCACCATCACCCCCACAGGTGCAGCCGCAGAACCATGGGTCAAAGCCATAGAAGACATGAGAGAGCTCCGACTCAAATATCTAGGGTCTGACAACCCGCTCGAGGCACGCTCCACGCCGATATTTAACAACCCTACCCTTCACCTCCCCCCCTCCATAACAAAATTCCACAACCTATTCAATACAGCCCAATTACTCACAGTCACTAACTACTTCACACCAGACGACACCGCGTACTTCGCCACCTCCATCGACCCATACATTAATTGCCGCTACCCCAGATCGACAGACGAACAGATAATCATCCCGCTGAGAGGAGGCCACTGGCATACCACAGATCGAGCGAAGGTGCACTACGCCTGGCACGAGCTAGGAATAATTCTCAACAAAAGGGGGCTCAACCCCGCGCACAGGAAGGCCAACCTCCTAAGAAGGGAAATCTGGCACGGCTATGTCGCGTCGTTCTCTTCTGCCTCGTCCTGTGACGCCGCCGCCTGCCGGTCCCTTGTTCTCGCGGCTTCTTTCGGCAAGCCCAGTAAAAGAAAGAAAGAAAACAGACAACCCAAGGGAGGGATGGGAGGACGGCACGCCGCCACCACACAGGGATTTTAAGGAGAGGAGTGTGATGCGCTAGCCGTCGCCCACCCTAGGGAGTCTGCCTCTTCCTATCTCTTTTCGCAGTCTCTCGCCGATTCTCGCTGCAACCTTCATGCCACCTCGCGGCCGTCCCACTCTCGTCGTTCTCTCCCTTGTCACTTCCTCCTCTGTCGCGTCATTCTCTTCTGCCTCGTCCTGCGCCGCCGCCGCCTGCCGTTCCCTTGTTCTCTCGGCTTCTTTCGCCTTTCGGCGCAGCTCCGCCCTCCTTGCTGCGTATCCTGGCCCCTCGAGTCTATCGAGGCAAGCCCAGTGTTGTGCGTGTGAGCTTGGTGTAAATTCTTTTTCTCGGCGTTCGCTTTCAAGGGTCAAGTGCATCTCCCTGAAGAGGCAGCACACACACATGATGCTGCTCGCGTGGGCAAGCACGCTCACGCTGTCTCTGTTGCCGAATCGAACTTCGCTTGCGTACGACGAGCAGGAGAAGACCGGAAGTGGAGCACTGCGGCAAGCGTTGCCCCACGCTGTTGTCGGCTGCAGCGACCGCTGGCGGCAAGATGGTAGGCAGCACGCTCCTGCCGCAAGCAAGATGAACAAGCGCTTTTGCCCCCGCGACGCGAGCTTTGGCTGCGGCGAGTCTGAGGCATGCTATGTTGAGACGGGTCCATCTCGCGGCGCAAGCTCCAAGCTCGCACAGTCGCATTACGTCATCAGTTCGGTTCGCGAACCATGTGACTGGCTGGTGAGCTTGTTCTTTTGGCGCCGGCCCGATCTGGCTGCTC